CCATTAATCCCTTTTGGCAAAAATGTCCTTCTCGCAGTTAACAGCCGATATAAATAAAAATGGTGACAGACAGTTTTTTTTTTTAAAAAATGCTAAGAGCGAAATCTGATGCGTCGTCCCTGCTTGGGGTGGCTGAGTTGCATTGCGGCCCAAACCTTCCAAAGATTTATGGACTCCACCCTTAGAGACCTGTCATTCTGGTAGTTCTTTCGAAATTGGTTTCTAGTCCATAACTTTGGATTGAGAAGTCCGATCGAAAAAGTACGAATTGATTTGGATTCTACGCACCCAAATTAATAAGAAAAAGTGTTTTCCCGAGAAATTTTGGTGCAGTCGATTTCTGGTAAAAAAGGAAGGTAAATAACTGCCTTTTTTTGAGGCCCTCAAAAAAAATTGTCTCAGATCGACCCGGAAAAAAATTTTTCTTATAGAATGTGGCCTGTAGAATCCATAAGTTCAAACAGTTCCAAGATAACCTTGAACAGATGTGGAAAATTTCGTCTGTCACGTTTGATGTGTAACCGTCGAGAGCCTTTTCAAACATCTCTACTCCATTAGACAAGTTTAAAAGGTATTTCGCTCGTTTTCCAATTCAAACTAAAACCAATTCTGGTATTGTCCCCCAAACCACATTTATTGAGTATCCGTCGAGTATACTTTCGTTAATAGCTCACGTACTAAACTTTATAGATAACAGCCATGGAGTCTAGCAGTTATCTGCCTGGGATACTTAGCTTCACCACTGAAATAGTTGCTACTGAGCCCCACCACCACGACAAGGTGTATCCCTTGGTGAGGTAATTGGGATACCCATAATTTTGTACTTCACCCTGTACATAGACATAATCAACGAGGACCAATAACCACAAAACAGAAGTGTTTCTGGTAGCGTCAAATCCTATCAACTGTCAACTGTCAGCTGTTGACGTATCTTGACAAAACAAACATCATAAAAATGGCAGATTTGAAAAAGGATCTAGATCAGTATCTGCTACTGCAGAACGACCAAAAGAAGTCGTTCAAATTACAAATGCCAACGATACAAAAACCCAACTTCTCCAACTGGTTAAAATCGGAAAGCCAAGAGGAGGAGACGTGGTTCGCGAGCACCCAAAAGCAATGCTGCCCGAGCTTGGTGACTATCCCAACTCGCCGGAATTCGCTATTAAACAATTCACGTTCCAGACACGCTTCCAGAGGATAGCGGGATTTTGCGCCTGCGTTCTTATGGGCATCCTGTGCTTTTCCATTTCTCTAATGTACATTCCCGTGCTGATTTTAAAAGCGAGAAAATTCGCGCTGTTATTCACCTTAGGTAGTGTCTTTTTCGTTTTAAGGTAAATATTTTTGGCCGTAAACTGTAGGTGTTATTAATAAGGTTGTAGTTTCATGTTCTTGTGGGGACCCGTGGCTTATTTGAAACACTCGTTTACACGGGAACGAATTTGGCTCACCGTCACCTATGTTTTTACGCTGGGAGTGACTTTATACTGCGCCCTACACTTGCAGAGCACGCCGTTTACCGTGCTCGGAGCCGTTGGACAAATTATTACACTTTTGTGGTCTGTAGTTGCGAGCGTTCCGGGTGGTGCTACCGGTGTTGGTGTTTTTTCAAAGATATTTTCTAAAAGTGTTGGTGCTACGTTACCCATATAGTACCTACTCTTTTATGTTAACGATTAAGTACACACGCATTGAGTAAATGTAGTCATCCATCATTTCACTGCCATCTTCATTTAATAAAACGTTCATTGTAGTTGTATTTGACTGAGAAGCTCTATGGATGTTATAGAAATAGTATTTGATATTGTATATTATAAGTTACTGTGATAGTTAAAATTGTATAAATATTTATTTAAGTCCATTGTGTTTTATTTAGTTCAAAATCTAGCATTGGAATGGAATATTCCTGTAACAAGCGTTAGCAACCAATACAGCAGTATGCGCATCCTGACTAAGTTTGATTTCTAAGTAAATGGTGAGTGTTGAAATAAGGAAGACTTTGGCACAGAAAGCACTAGTGATGCAGCAGACCTCTACTTCCGCAAGTGCGGAAGTTCTGCATATTATTTCAGTTCCGCTATTTTGTAACGGAAGTCTATTTGAATTTTTCAATGCGCCCTCTGATTGGCCGAACGGCGCTTGAGTTTGTCAGTAGAGCCGGCTGTCAGACGTGGCGGGACTTGTTTGTTTTTGTTTACTTTCATTCGACTCATTAGTTCGTCGCAACAATTCGTGGTTTTTACTGCATAGTTTAATAAACTCTGATTATTCCAGTTTTTATCAAATTTATAACAGTATTCACACTTCCGGTTCCACAAAAAAAAAAGATTTTATCTTCCGCTTCTGCTTCCGTTATAAGTAGGTACACGCCCGTTGAATCCCTAGCGTTTTGTGAAGGCGATTGTAAATCTTATTTTATGACGTACAAATGCAATCAGATAAAATCAAGCTTCCTCTTCCGCAAAATGTCAATTGTTTTTTAAAACATGTATGCAAATTTAAAAACAAAAATTCCTAAAACCGCTGTATTTTTTATAAAGCGATTTCGTACGCCCTCTAGCGACAAAGTTAAAAAAATACACGTAATTTGCGAACGGATAGGGGTAGACTTTTTTGAGCACCTATATAGGGTTGTTAGAGCATTTTAGTACAATCAATCAAATTAATAAAAATATTTCATGCGCAATTCAAAAAAACCACCCCTTGAAATGGATGAGTGCCGAGTAAAAGACGCTTTTTTAAAAATACATGTAATTTGCGAACGGATAGGGGTAGATTTTTTTGAGCACCTATATAGGGTTGTTGGCAGAGCATTTTAGTACAGTCAAACAAATAAATAAAAATATTTCATGCGCTATTCAGAAAAACCACCCTTCGAAGTGTATGTTTCCCGAGTAAAAGACGCTTTTTGTAAAAGTACAGTAATTTGCGAACGGATAGGGGTAGACTTTTTTGAGCACCTATATAGAGTTGTTAGCAGAGCATTTTAGTACAATCAATCAAATTAATAAAAATATTTCATGCGCAATTCAGAAAAACCACCCCTGAAATGGATGAGTGCCGAGTAAGACGCTTTTTTAAAATACATGTAATTTGCGAACGGATAGGGGTAGATTTTTTTGAGCACCTATATAGGGTTGTTGGGTGAGCATTTTAGTACAATCAATCAAATTAATAAAAATATTTCATGCGCAATTCAGAAAAACCACCCCTTGAAATGGATGAGTGCAGAGTAAAAGACGCTTTTTTAAAAACACATGTAATTTGCGAACGGATAGGGGTAGATTTTTTTGAGCACCTATATAGGGTTGTTGGCAGAGCATTTTAATACAATCAAACAAATAAATAAAAATATTTCACGCGCTATTCAGACAAACCACCCTTCGAAGTGTATGTTTCCCGAGTAAAAGACGCTTTTTGTAAAAGTACACGTAATTTGCGAACGGATAGGGGTAGATTTTGGTGAACACCTATATAGGGTTGTTGGCAAAGCATTTTAGTACAGTCAAACAAATAAATAAAAATATTTCATGCGCAATTCAGAAAAATCACCAGCAAGGGACGTTAACTGGACTACCGAATTTTTGAATTTCAACACACCCAAATAACTAAGCATAATTACGGTAGCTAATGAGATGTATCTGATTGACAAATGTTTGGTGTCAAATGAAGCGCGCTTAATTAACAAGAATTTTAAGGCAATTTCCAGGTTTTGGGATGACAGGGAACCAAGCGACTAATTAAAGTTTTAATTTCTGAACTCAAATGTGGGCCAGTTTCCAAATTCATTACGATCTCGCGGGCCGCATGCAATTATTTTTAGTAAGGGAAAAAAAGAAAATATTTTTAATTTAGATCATATTTATTCTTCTTCTTATATTTATTTTTGAACATAGCTTAAATCGCCTCTCCTAGTCAAACGGAGATTATATTATATTGGTTCCAAGACATCTCGTACAATTTCTGGAAAAGAGTTTGGTGTTGTAGAAAAGAAACTGAAAATTTTCCTGAAAAAAGTGTTCTTCGCATACTTTTTTTCATAGATCTGCTCCATGTTGAAAACTAAAACAAATGTATAAGCAAGCATCTAAAATTACTCGCTTTCTGTAAAAAAAAATTATAAACTGACGAGCCATTAATTTAGCTAAAATACATACAAAAAAGGAACATGAAAGAATACCTATCAAATTCCATTGGTCAAACATTATAAAAACTTTATTTCTTGCATGTTTGCATTGAAACAAACCCAAGACATTTAAAATTTGTCATATTAAAAACATATATGTACAGTGATATGTTTAAAAAACTAGATTAAAAAAAAATAAAAATAATAACACAGAGTTAAAATAAGTAAAAACGAACCAAACGCCTAAAGTTCACTTTCGTCACTTCGTGGCACTAAAACCCAACCGTCAGACGGCGGCCGACCGATATTGGCGGTAAGTAACTCTTTCTGTTTCTCTAAGCTTTTCTTAAGCAATATTAGGGCCTGCTTCTCACTTTGTAACTGTTCTATTGTCTTTCTCTGTCTCTGTTGCTCTAAACTTTGTGTTTCCTGTAGTTTCGTCTTTCGCTGTGATAAATACGCTAGTTCCGTTTGTACCTTCAATCAAAAATTGAGGCCGACGTTATCAAGTCGAGCTAATTTACCTTAAGATATTCCTGAGCTAATTGTTTGTGTTCCTCGAATAGCGAGACGGAACTGGGATCGTCCAAGTCGGGCGTGGCGGGGCGAAGATGCGGATCCAGGAGTAGGTACATGTTGTCGAGGTTCGGATCGGGCGAGTCCGGCGCTTCGGGGGGAATTGAATTTTGTACTTCTGTTTGTACCGTGCTTCTACTACCTGCAATTAAAAAAGGAGATACTGTTAAACTTTTAATTCATTAGTTAATTCGAGATATGATAAATATCGCACTCTCTTGTACAGGATGAGTCAACGATTGCGCGGAGTAACTTAATGCCTTGAAGATAAGATTTTTCGATAGAGTGCTTTTGTATTATGATATGGTTGAATATTCTCCACATTTTAAAAATATTTGGAATTATACAGGGTGCGCCCACAAAGTAGGCCGACAAAATGGTACATTTTTTAAATAGAACCCCCTGTATTTGAATGCATTTTTGAATTCTACGTGTAATGGTACGTCTTTTTTATTATATGGTTAATATCCGAAAATTTAAAAAAAAATTGGGCATTTGCAAGCGTCAGTATATTTCAAAATTATTACTTAAATTTTGATTGCAGGTTTTATATCTTTTATCCTGGGTTAAGTAAAAGTCAAATAAATACATCTACTACAAAACATTAAAAAAATAGCTTACAGGGTGTTTTTTTTTCTAGATCCAAAGTTATAAAACTTCATATTAAAAAATATCACTTTTTTTAAATGGAACGCCCTGTATATTTTAATGTCATCTCCATCCTCCAAAAACCTTCAACTTTTGATAATAATGTCCTATCTCTGATAGTTTTCGAAATATCTTGGTTTTCCTGGTTTTTATATTGTAATCTTACATAAGTTATATGTAATTTACATAATAGTGAGGTGGCCATGCAAAAAAAAGGCAATTTTTATCTGCTTTAAAAATCTTTATCTGATTTTAAAAAAGTGGGATTATTTAATATGAAGTTTTGCAACTTTGGACTTACTACAAAAACACCCTGTAAGTTATATTTTTAATGTTTCATAGTAGATGTATTTCTTTGACTTTTACTTAACCGAGGATAAATGATACTGGAATCAAAATTTAAGTAATAATTTTGACAATATACTGACCCTTGCAAATGCCCAATTTTTCTTAAAAATCTAATTATCTTTAAAACTACTAGCTTTTCGGATATTAACCATATACTTAAAAAAAACGTACAATTACACGTAGAATTCAAAAATGCATTCAAATACAGGGGGTTCTATTTAAAACAATGTACCACTTGGGCGCCCTACTTTGTGGGCGCACCCTGTATAATTCCAAATATTTTTAAAATGTGGAGAATATTCAACCATATCATAATACAAAAGCACTCTATCGAAAAATCTTATCTTCAAGCCATTAAGAGTTTTAAAGTCGGTCTCCCGGACAGGGACCAGATTCCCGTTCCTCAAACCTAAAGGGAGTCGTGTGGTTTACAAACGGGTTCCTAACAGAAAGGGGAACGGGTATAGGTGTATATGGTCATCAACCGAGAACTGACGTTAGCTTCTCCCTCGGACAGTGTAGCACCCTGTTTCAGGCAGAGAATTTAGCCATCATTCCCAGTGCACCAGAGAACCTGTGACAGTCAGGCGACGCAGCGGACAGTTTCCGATGGGCTACAGTGCTTGACTGCAGACGAACTCTACAGTGCTATTCATTTAGAAGTAGACATAGGGATTTTCTATGTCTACTTTGACAAAAATCCTTCTGAAAGACGCCTAATTTTATACAACCGAAATAACATGCGCGCGCATTTTGTATTGTCATTCTAGATTTTTTAATAAAAACGACAGTAATAGCACAGATAGATAGATAGAGGGCGCTTTTAAGTATACCCATAAAATGCATAATGTTAGCAATCTGTTGTATGCGTACAGGGTGGCCAACTAAGAATGCGAGGTACTGTATCTGAGAATCTATCCATCGTAGAGGCTTGCGGTAAAAAAATTTATTACTAAAACGGCCACGAGAAAAACCTGGAAAATATTTTTAAGTTTCTGAAATGACCGCTAGGGGGTGTAACTGCAATCTGGAATCTAAAAAAATGATGTTTCTGTGAATTCCGCTATATTAACCTAACAAAAAAATGTCCGGTCTTTGAAGTTGACGATAATCTGAACAATTTTTGTTTGACAATTTTTCCTGTATCTCTAAAAACGAAGTGGTGGGGGTTATTCAAAAGTTTCCGTTTAGAACACCCTGTATCTTCGAAACGGTTGAGCCGATTTAAACAAACTCGGGTTAGTTCAAAAGAGCTATTCTTCAGCTACAAATATACTATTTGAAGTTTTGTTAGTTTCACATATCACCGCTTGAGGGCTTTTTTCGACATTCTGACAGAAATGGTTAATTTTCTCAAAAAAATTAAATGCATTGGTTCGATTTTTTTTTCATGAAAAAGTAGCTAAATGATGCCTAAACATGTTCGCGAAAACAGCATCTCGGTATCTTGAGAGATATATACATTTTTTATATCGTGATGGCCAGCATTTCGAGCATTTACGGCGGCATTAAAAGCTTCCTTTTTTAAATCGATCCACCTTAGGTCCTTAGGGCCACAAATTATATAATAAAAATAATTCCGGAAAAATTAGCTTAAAAAAATAAAATTGTGAGCGTATAAACTTTTCTTTTGCCTAAATTTTAGGTTAGGAACAAGATATCGAGATGCGGTTTTTGCGAGATTGTTCAGGCATCATTTGGCTACTTTTTCATGAAAAAAAATCAAACCAACGCATTTCATTTTTTTGAAAAAATTAACCATTTCTGTCGGAATGTCGAAAAAAGCCCCCAAGCGGCGATATGTTAAACTAACAAAACTTCAAATATTGTAATATTTGTAGCCGAAGAATAACCCTTTTCAATTAACCCGAGTTTGTTAAAATCGGCTCAGTCGTTTCGAAGATACAGGGTGTTCTTTACGGAAACCTTTGAATACCCCCCCACCACTTCATTTTTAGAGATACGGGAAAAATTGTCAAACAAAAAAGGTTCAGATTATTGTCGTCTTCAAAGACCGGACAATTTATTGTTAGGTTAATATAGCGGAATTCACAGATTGCAGTTACGCCCCCTAGCGGCCATTGCAGAAACTTAAAAATATTTTCCAGATTTTTCTCGTGGCCGTTTTAGTAATAATTTTTTTACCGCAAGGTTCTACGATGGACAGGTTCCCAGATACAGTACCTCGCATTCTTATTTGGCCACCCTGTATATCTGTGGTAATAGTATGCTTTTAGGTTATGATGAAGAGATATTAAATTCGGCCGTTATTTCTTATGGGATTCTCTTCCACAAAAAAAACATTCAGTTTCATATCCTCAGTTAAAATTGAAAGTTGTTTACGATGTCTTATGTGGAGCGTATATTGTCATTTAAAACTAGTTCCTATGCCTACTTCTAAATGAAAATCACTGTATATATAGATTAAGTGAGTCTAATAGGGTGCCAGCGCACTGCAGAATAAGGAGCAACGAAAAGGCAAATGAGCTGGCTCGTGAAGGCAGTGGTGGGGCGGACGAACCTACCCTAGGAATTACTCCATCTGTTATTAGGGCCGGGAAAATGTTCTTTGGACCTTCCTCTTGAACACATCCAAAAAGCCTGCATGTGGGGGGGTGACCGCCATTTTGAATTTTAGGCCCCTTTTTTCGTTTTTTCCTCAATATCTCGAAAACTATCAATTTTTTTATACCCGGTTATATCTTCAAAATGAAAGCTAATTAAATTTCCTCCAAAAACTAGTATTAACATTTAGGAGATATACACTGTGTTCAAGATAAGGATGTCTATCATGGTTGTATGGTCAAATTAGAGAAAAATATTAGCAATTAAAGAGTTATTATTATGCTTTAAACCAGAAAATTACGATTACTTCCGAAGATATGCTAGAAAATTCGAAATTTGCCGATTTTGTTTTTATTTTTTTCTAATGATATTTGAACAGATACAAAAAAATTAAAAACACTTTCTCTTTGGCACTTTTGGGCTCTACAAGACAACGTGGAGAGACAAAGAAATCATCATCAACTTTATTTCTTATAAGGCCCGTAAAAATTACATACCGCACTGAGTAGCATTTTTTTTTAATACGAATACAACAATGCACTTAAAAAAAACAAAACTGTTGGTTTCAACAGGATGGTGTACCTGCACACAACGCCGAAATCGTGTGAGAAAACCTATCGGACAAGTTTCCTGGAATATATATCCGATAGGTATTCTCACACGATTAAGGCGTTGTGTGCGGGTGCACCATCCTGTTGAAACCAACAGTTTATTTATTTAACGAAAAATTAAAATGAAATCGACAACTTATTCTTGGACACAGTGTATATGTTTTGTTTATATTTAGTTAACTATTAAAATTATTTGATTAAAGTTTTTTAACCTTCAATATTCAATTGTAAATTCCATCGTTTTGAATCCCAGCTTGGTTTCCGAGCCAAGTTTTGGTTCGAGCTGACCTGATTTTTGTCGAGCCAAGCCGAACCGAATTAAAAAAAAATTCGGCTCGCCTTTCATAGGTGGAAAATGTCAGGTAATAGTGAAAATGTTTCTAAAAAAATCGTAAATTTCGGAAATTTCCAAAATGTGTTACAAATGACAAATGTGGCGTGGCAAGAAAAGTATGGAAATGTTAGAAAAAAATAAACAAGGTTGGCATGATACATTCTGCAGATGAAAGGAAGAGAGAGGGAAAACAAACCTTCTTGATCCAAACCCCCAAGGCCCAAATGAGTCGAATATTATAAAAATGCGGATATTTTGTATTTGTGTCCAAGAGCAAATGTTTAACTTTTGGAAATCTCAAAAAATGGCAACAGTGGATTAAACAAAAAATTCTGTAATTAGTGATGGATTTACGTACAAGTTTGGGGCGTCAAAATTGAAGGGTTAATGGAGAATTGCGGTTCGAGAAAGGGTAGCACTAAATATTCGTTTCGTAAAAATTAAAAATCCGTTCTATTATACTTTGGGGGACCAAAACGTTTAGGAAACCAATGTTGTAACTCATGAGCTAATCGTCTACTTTGAAAAATCTTACATAAACACACAATACATTTTTAGCACGTGATACCACTGAAAGTGCTTTGGTGGCTGAGTTCTACTCGAAACTGGACACAAACGCCATGAGATTTACGCAAGACATGTGACTCACCCCGTAAAAAGTAGCACATTTGTTAAGCTTGTCGACAAACTTGTAAGCCTCATTATAACCTTCCACTTCGTGCCAAAATGTCATAGTGAATAGCTTACCAAGTTGTGATTCACTTGAAACATGTTCCAAAGATAGTAAAGATTAGGCAAAACTCCTTGGGGCACGAGGAAATTGGGTGATTCAAGCGTAAAGAATGAATGAATAACTTTTTTGTTTTTAAAGCTTTCACATTTAAAAATACTTCAATTATTTAAAGTAATTGAGTACAACGTACTCCAACAGTAAACATCCACCGGAACAAAGAGCTGACACACGAATATTTTGGTAGAAGGAAGCGAATCGGGAGGGAAAAAATATAAACATAATAAAACATACATCAAGGAAAGAGATCAACTTGGCGAATTACCAAAACGGCATTTTAATCGCTCGCTCTTCCGTATTTACTTTAAGGAACAAATTTCCAAATCCGCTAAGACCGCGTGACATAATAAGGAAGACAAACATTGGGAAGATTAACGAGCGAATTTATTAATAGCTTCTGCAAGAAACAAGAATACCCACCGATATGTGTAGTATTTTCGTTAAAAATAATCCAACTCTTGCGAGTTTCGTGGGTTGTAATAACACCAGCAGTTGGACAATCGCACATTGTAATTTTTTCGAATTATGTCATTATCGCCAAAAACGTCGGGGCGCGAACGTGCGGGGTGTTCCAAAAATCGGCCGAGACGCACCAGGGGGTTTCCAAAACAAAACCGAGCCCGAAGAAGACGGATGCGATAACTGAAAATCTTAGAGGAAAACACACGCTCTCGTGGAGACCTCTCCGGACATGCGTAAAAGATTTACGTCCTGCAGCTGCGAGACGAATTAAAAAAAAAGCGCGACTAAAATACGAAAATCGAAATCTTTTCACCGGCGAAAAGTTCAAAAAACCTTCGCGCATTTTCCACCAATTACCTCTTACAAGAATCGGCGCGCAGATCCGTACCCCGCGTTTTTGGGGAGGCAAATTTCGCGGACGGACGAACTTTTCGCGGAGAGCTTCTCTGAGAAATCCATCTCGAAATTGGTACAATACGGATCTGTTTGTACACTAAAAAACATAAAAGCGCACCCCACCGCAACTAAACAAACTGAACTAATTTCGTTTACGTGAGTCACTCCTCTAAAAACAGACACCAAACCATGATTCGGCACTACAGAATGCCTCTATATATAAATTCTATCCGCGGAAAGACGTTAACACGTTAGACGAGGCGCGACGAAGACGGCGGATCCAACGCGAGTTCAAAAAACCTTCGCTGCACGATTATGGGCAAAAAAGCGGAAGACTGCCAAAATTCACTCGAGGGCGCCCCCGATTAATTACCAACAAATTCATGAACCGGGCCCAATGCCTAATTTGGCAAAAATACATGATGAATGAAAATCTCGAACGGAAACGCTTTGGGGAATTATGAATTTAAAACACAGAAAACGATAGAAGGGGACAAGATAGTAATACAAGTGATTTACACAATGTTTATTTTGACATTAACAAATAGTTACTCGTCCAAAATCGCAAATAGATTAAGCCCCTCCAATGATGATCCTTGATATCGATGTGGAGCTTCACATGTTCGATAATTCAGGGGGTGCGTAACGGTCGGTGATGAAGCCAATAAGCTGTGTGATCCTGGGAGCTAAGTCTCCCCCGGTGTCTTAGTCGACCCCTTTCCTGGGCTAAGAGATCTCCACAAAAAGGGCGTTCGGACGCATCTGCTCGCTGGTTAAATTCCAGCAACGATAATATTCTTTGATTCGGGTCCGTTAACTTGGCCCCCCCACTGTTAGATTTGATAGTCGTATTATTTTAAAATGAATGCGCTCCTTATGCGCCACTGCGCCATTATCGTTTTTTAGAAATCCGAAAAAACATTGGGGGAACGTAGCCCCCCCCCCGTACGTATTTTGTCGCTTGTAACTAGGTCACCTGATACATTTGGTTATGCCACTTGAATTAAAGCTAGCGCCATTACGGTTAAGCCGTGACAAATTTTCAAAAAGCGGGGTGGTCAACTTAACGTTTTTAAAAGTTACTTTTTTTTAACATCTTTTCATACGAAATTGTACTCTCAGGTATACGCTGAAATGCGCCGTAAAAAGATATCTTTGCGCCATTCTTTTTTTTTTGGTTATCCTTAAATATATTTGGGAGGGGCCAAGTGAACGGACCCCCCCCCCCCATAACGCATTTTGCTACCGGTATTTGTGCCACTCCATACATCTGGTTATGCGCTCAATTGCGCCACTTGAATTAAAGCTAGCGCCATTACAGTTAAGCCATAAAAAATATTTTTAAAAAGTGGGGGGAGGGGGGCTAACAACGTTTTCGAAAGTTAAGTTTTTTTACGTGTTTTTCTACTACATCGTACGTTTCATCATGCGCTAAAATGCGCCGTAAACAAAAATCTTTTCAGAAACACTATACAGGGTGTTTTTTTGGGAGCTTTAGTTAAACGTTAAAGCGCTAGCTTTAATTCAAGTGGCGCAATTGAGCGCATAACCAGGTGTATCGAGTGGCACAAATACCGGTAGCAAAATGCATTATGGGGGGTTCCGTTCACTTGGCCCCTCCCAAATATATTTAAGGATAACCAAAGAACAATAATGGCGCAAAGATATCTTTTTACGGCGCATTTCAGCGCATACCTGAGAGTACAATTTCGTATGAAAAGATGTTAAAAAAAAGTAACTTTTAAAAACGTTAAGTTGACCCCCCCGCTTTTTGAAAATTTGTCACGGCTTAACCGTAATGGCGCTAACTTTAATTCAAGTGGCGCAATTGAGCGCATAACCAAATGTATCAGGTGACCTAGTTACAAGCGACAAAATACGTACGGGGGGGGGGGGCTACGTTCACTTGGCCCCCCCAAATGTTTTTTCGGATTTATAAAAAACGACAATAGCGCAAGAGTTATTATCGGTGGCGCATATGGGCGCATTCATTTTAAAATAATACGACTATCAAATCTAAGAGTGGGGGGGCCAAGTTAACGGACCCCTTTGATTCCAGTATCCACTCCCCCTGAAGTGGCTGATTATGATTATGGAACATCGCTTCCAGAGCGGCCGTTTAATTTGTCCGTAGCATTATTTTGAGCGAGCTAAATACTTTTATGGCTAATTGTAATTGTTTACAAATTTAAACAACAACACACTGTAAGTAATTGCGTGAAATAAAACAGAAGGAAAACTTAAAAAATCGTCAGCTGTCCTAATTGGCAAAAGAAACATGTACAAAATTACATTTCTTCTTGGTAAACGTGAAATCAGTCATTTCCACATGCAACATTAAAAAAGAAGAAAAAGAACACGATTTCTTGGCAGACAGAATGACGACTTCCAGTGACATTTTACATTAAACCGAAGACAAAATTAAAGCGATGACTAACAGGTCACAAGCTTAAATTTCTTACTACATCCAAGAACCTTCTTATTTTAAAGTCTCACCGCGTGAATCATCACAACTCGGAAGTCAACGCTCTAAATGTGTATAAATAATGTCACGATAAAGTCGCGAAGATGTCAAAACAAAAGCAGCGAGAAAAGATTAAACATCTGCGCGCGGTTTTCCAATCTGCACTTACAGTTTTTGGGCATCATCTTGTCAAATCCGGGCATGGTGCGCAATTCTAAGTCGTTATACTCTTCTAATTCCCATGCGTCCTGCAAACAAAAAGAAAATGTGTCGGTCAAACTAAAACTGCTACATTTATTTAGTTCTCATTTGTCATTAATTCCTCCTTCTAAGGAGCCACATTTCTTTCTACAGGGGCGGATTGTGTCAAAGGAGAGAAATTGAAATTCCGCCTAATCTTCCCCTCCCCAATGACTTAAGCTAAGAGATGGCGTAACTCCTTCAGCCAACCCCAAGTGAAAGCTCAAATTGAAGCACCCTCGTATTTGTGGGGGTTGATTGTTTTCAGTATTGGAGAGGATGTCCGGGACCATCTTTGGGCCAAAGGGGACAAACCTCTTCCCTCTGAAGGTTAGGATTGATAAATCCGCTAAATTTATACCACCCCGACCTTCCCCAGAATCGCAAGAAGCACTAAACACCAAGCATCGCTTTCCGGTCCATCTCATAGAAACTGTGAAAGTTTTCTCTGGTGTAAACCAGATCTCTGGAAAACCACACAAAAAGAAACTGAATTTGAGACATTTTCAAATTTTTCATTAAACATTCCGAAATAAACTATTTTAACTTTTGCACCAAATCGTATAACAAATATAATTACGAAAGCGTAGACCGGACAAGGTAGTTCAAAATATGTAATCCCGAGATATAAGTCGGGATTATACGTATAATCTCGAGATGTAAGTGAGGATTATACTTAATCCCGAGATATAAGTCGGGATTATACTTAATCCCGAGATATAAGTCGTCGGGATTATACGTAATCTCGAGATGTAAATGAGGATTATACTTAATCCCGAGATATAAGTCGGGATTATACTTAATCTTGAGAAATAATTCGGGATTATACTACGTAATCTCGAGATGTAAATGAGGATTATACTTAATCCCGAGATATAAGTCGGGATTATAACGTAATCGGATATAAGTCGGATTATACGTTATCTCGAGCTGTGAGTGATCCCGAGAGTTATACTTAATCCCGAGAGAGATATATAAGTCGGGATTATACGTAATTCGAGTGTAAATGAGGATTATACTTAATCCCGAGATATAAGTCGGGATTACACTTAATCCCGAGATACAAGTCGGGATTATACTTAATCCCGAGATATAAATCGGAATTATACTTAATCCCGAGATATAATTCGAGATTATACTTAATCCGGAGATATAAGACGGGATTATACTTAATCCCGAGATATAAGTCGGGATTATACTTAATCTTGAGAAATAATTCGGGATTATACTTAATCCCAAGATATAAGTCGGGATTATACGTTATCTCGAGCTGTGAGTGCGGATTATACTTAATCCCGAGATATAAGTCGGGATTATACTTAATCCCGAGAGAGATATATAAGTCGGGATTATACGTAATCTCGAGATGTAAATGAGGATTATACTTAATCCCGAGATATAAGTCGGGATTACACTTAATCCCGAGATACAAGTCGGGATTATACTTAATCCCGAGATATAAATCGGAATTATACTTAATCCCGAGATATAATTCGAGATTATACTTAATCCGGAGATATAAGACGGGATTATACTTAATCCCGAGATATAAGTCGGGATTATACGTAATCTCGAGATGTAGGTGAGGATATACTTAAATATAATCCCGACTTATATCTCGGGATTACATAATTTGAACTACCTTGTCCGTTCTGCGCTATCGTATATAATAATAAAGTAGTGGGTTGGTGTTTTTAGTGTACAGGGTGTCCCATTTTCAACAGTTTAAAAAGGTATTTCCGTAATTGTTGGTATCAAATAGTAATATAGGAGTCATGTGCTCTATTTGGATCAAAGTTAATAAAAACAAAATATGCGAATATTCGCTTGCTTGAGAGATACAGGACCAAATCAAAAAATTTTCAGTTTCACAATGACCCTATATTTTCTTAGTCAAAAGAGATACAGAAAAATGTTTCTTTATACTGATTATTGTATAATCTACCGTTTTCGAGGTACACAATAAATTCTTTTTTCAAAAATATAACACAAACATTAAAAAAAACACCTTTTTGAATTTTTTTTTTAATTTCTAAATTGGTAATCAAATTGTTTTTGAATTTTTGTGTACCATTTGAACCTTATTTTAATTAATCCACGGTGAGTTATGTTTTTTGAAAAGATAATTTAATGTGCAATTATTTTAGATTAATATCTACAGGATGTCGCATTTAAAAAATGAGGTTAGATCCGGAAAACTTTTTTATCCGAGTCCTTATAATTATTCTGAAAACGGCAGATTATTCAACAATAAAATTATTCTTTTAACTAAGAAAATGTAGGGTCACTCTGAATTTGATAGTTTTTTGATGTTTTTATATTGATCCAAAAATGGCATATAAAATGGCATATCACGCCTTTATTACTTTTTTGATAACGCTAACAATTACGGAGAATAGAAGTAGAGAAAATTTTTGGACCATAGTTTCTGAGATTTCCCCCAGTGTTGGTATTTTTTTAATGCAACACCCTCTTCCACCCACGTACTAATGGCTCACCCTGTATAATAATATACCATACACAAAAAATATAGGTTGTGATACATCAATGGAATCAGGACGAAGAATGCAAAAAAATTGACGTTAAAATATACACTGTCAAAGTATGTAATAATATACAGGGGATTCCATTTAAAAAAATGCAACTTTGATATAAATCACCCAGTATAACAATTGCAATTTCGTTGAAAAGATTTTTAGGTTGTAGCCTTAAGGATCCTTAAACCTGCCCCGATAATAAATTTTAAATTTGGGCGTTAATAAACCCACAATCTTCCACCTACGCACTAATGGCTCACCCTGTATAATAATATACCATACACAAAAAATATAGGTTGTGATACATCAATGGAATCAGGACGAAGAATGCAAAAAAATTGACGTTAAAATATACACTGTCAAAGTATGTAATAATATACAGGGGATTCCATTTAAAAAAATGCAACTTTGATATAAATCACCCAGTATAACAATTGCAATTTCGTTGAAAAGATTTTTAGGTTGTAGCCTTAAGGATCCTTAAACCTGCCCCGATAATAAATTTTAAATTTGGGCGTTAATAAACCCACAATCTTCCACCTACGCACTAATGGCTCACCCTGTATAATAATATACCATACACAAAAAATATAGGTTGTGATACATCAATGGAATCAGGACGAAGAATGCAAAAAATTGATGTTAAAATATACAGTGTCAAAGTATGTAATAATATACAGGGCGTTCCATTAAAAAAAATGCGACTTTGATATAAATCACCCTGTGTAACAATTGCAATTTCGTTGAAAATATTTTTAGGTTGTAGCCTTAAGGGTCCTTAAACATGCCCCGACAATAAAATTTAAATATGAGCGTAATAAACCCACAATTTTCCATCTACGCATTATGGCTCACCCTGTATAATTACATATACAAAAAATATAGGTTGTGACATGTAAAAAATTGATGTTAAAATATGAAGTAAGTATTGCGTTTAAAAAATGCCAACTTTGGATCAAATTTCCTTTCCTTTGAGCACAATTAAGACACGAAAATGTTTCAGACATGATAACTTTTGCTTCTTAATTACTGCATTTGCTATTATTATTAATATATAGAAACAGTTCTTAGGGGTGAGCTTTCTTCTTTCAGTTAAATGTGTGTCAAAATGTTTCGTTTCCATGGCACGTACCTAAGTGTCAGATAAATTTACCTGAGATAAGGAAAAGCGACCCTTATACTCAGTTGTGCCATGATAATTCAATCTCAGTTCAGTGGACTGACAATAAAGAAATTTGATTGGTTGAAATTCAAAAATTATCTAATCATTGTGGGCAGGTGAGCTATTCTTTATAGTAGTAGCTGTACGATCATCGACAAAAGTAATGATAATCGAAAGCTTACTGTCACTTAGGCCACCAACCATACACTAACTACAGTGGCAACGTTGAAGCGAAATTACGTAAACATCAGAAGTTGGCGCCATCTTGTTTTTTTTAAAAGAAACATACGATTTTCTATTTTTTTCTAAGCGCATTCGACGCATTTATCTGTCATAGTTTTTGACATATCTCAATTTTTCTCGAACAATTTAGAAATGCAAGGGCCCATTCAAAAAGCGTTTAAGATACGTGAGTGACCGCTAAAACTTTCCAGGGCTGCTGAGATTGTGAAAATTAATCAAAAAATGTCAAAAACTGCGAGAAGTACAAAATGATTGTAAAATACCTTGCCATAGTTGTAGATCTCATGCCTTGAAATTTCAGTAGTAGGCACAAAATACCTTTTCACACATTATACTTCCCTAATTTTATAGTTTTCCCATTAGTACATGCCTAAAGGGTAGGGGGTAAGCGTCCTCTCGCACATTATAATCTCTCAATAGCAAAATAATAAATTGTATCGGGATTACTCAACAATGTGATAAGTTAACGGCTAACACATATCAAAATTACCGGATCAACTTCCACAGACAAAGGCGGCATCCCCGAATCGGGCGGCTGCGGAAGCGTATATTGCCTAGAATTTTCCAAGTTAGTCTTACTATTGTCAGGAAATTGCGATTTCACATAAAGATCATCTTCTTCGCACTCGTCCTCCACACTGTCATCCTCTATAGGATAAACAATGGGTTGATCGTCGCCGGGGAAAAACGTCGAAATGGCACTCATAATCTCGACCACCTGTAGAGTATCGCTTGGTAATGAGTGGGAAAAGAAACATACGAGGCCAAACCTTTTGCATGCTAGGCCTTATCGACGGATCCTCGTCCCAGCAGTCTTGCATTAGCTTTTCTAACGGCGGCGGACAGTGACGTATGAGCTGCGGTCGCATTCCCTTGTGCACGGCCCACATTATCGTAAACGCGGACCCCTTCAGGTGATAGAAAGGTCTTCGCCTCGATAGCACCTCCCACAGGATTATTCCCCAACTGTACACGTCGCATTTCTCGGTATAATTCGACGTTGTGAACACCTAAAAAACAGAAATAATGACAAATTGTTGGTTTAATACGAGCAGGAAAAGTCCGCGGATTTGAGCGCATGGTAAGTACTGATTGGAGCTGCAGAACCTGGCATGGTAATGCGCCTAAGTAGGAGGGGTCTATCGCCATCACATAGTTTTGTACAGGGGCCTTGAAGATAAGATTTTTCGATAGTGCTTTTGTATTATGATATGGTTGAATTTTCTCCACATTTTAAAAATATTTGGAATTATACAGGATGCGCCCACAAAGCAGGCCACCAAAATGGTACATTTTTTTAAAATAGAACCCCCTGTATTTGAATGCATTTTTGAATTTTACGTGTAATTGTATGTCTTTTTTATTATATGGTTAATATCCGAAAAGCTAGTAGTTTTAAAGATAATTCGATTTTTAAGAAAAATTGGGCATTTGCAAGCGTCAGTATATTGTCAAAATTATTACTTAAATTTTGATTCCAGGTTTTATATCTTTTATCCGGGGTTAAGTAAAAGTCAAATAAATACATCTACTATGAAACATTAAAAATATAGCTTACAGGGTGTTTTTTTTGGTAGGTCCAAAGTTGCAAAACTTGCATATTAAAAATTTGAGTTTTTTAAATGGAACACCCTGTATATTTTTCTGTCATCTTTTAGCTCCTCCAAAAACCTTCAACTTTTGATAATAATGTCCTATACCTATCTGTGATAGTTTTCGAAATATCTTGGTTTTCCTGGGTTTTATATTCTAATCTTAAATAAGTTATATATAATTTACATAATAGTGAGGTGGCCATGCAAAAAAAGGCAATTTTTATCTATCTCTATCTTTGCAAAAAATAGTGGATGCAGATGGTACCTTGACAAATGATGTTATGGCATCCTATTTTTAGCAGTGCATAGAGAAAGAATAGGGCTATCTTTTAGTGCACTTGAAAAAAGTTAGATTGCGTTGGAAAAAATCAAACCAATGCAGTTAATTTTTTTGAGAAAATTCACGAAATGTCGAAAAAAGCCCTCAAGCGGCGATATGTGAAACTAAGAAACCTTCAAATATTATAATATTTGTAACCCAAGAATAGCTTTTTTCAACTATCCCAAGTTCGTTAAAATCGGCTCAGCCGTTTCGAAGATACCCCTTCTCCCCGAGATTATGTAGCTATGAAGTTGGTTAAATTATGAAACATTATTTCTCATGTTTGCAATGGTGGTATCAGAAGACTGCACATCAGGTTATCAAGACATTCAATACTGGCATTTTTTAAATGGAACTCTCTGTATATCTTTAGCGATTTTGAACAAAAATGAAATTCCAAATCTTAAGATCAAAATTTTTTTCAGGCCCCTATGTTAGGGGTGCACCCTTTTTGGTGTAAACATTTTGAAAATATTTTTACAACAAAAAAAGGAAGATAAACCAAGGTAAAGCCCTCTAATGTGAATTCCATTTTTTTTATATTTTGAAAATTAGTATCTTTATCTTTAAAAAAACAAATTTGACAACCGCGCGATTTCAAAAAATCGCCAAATCGCTTTTTTAAAAAATCTCATCAATTTCAAATTAAACACACAACAATTTATGCCCTGTCGTTTTTGCAAAGTAATTTTGATTTTGGTGGCATTAAAAAAGATGCTCATGTTCTGTTGGAAAAAATTAAAAACGTAATTCAATGAGTAATTTTTTTCAAAATTAACAAGATTAACTTGAAATTTTCACAATACGTAAGGAATAGCCTAAGAGGATCAAAATCTATATTGTCGAGGGGCACTTTCACACTGAGGTGGTTGCCACCCCATTCCGGGGATGGCAATTTTAGCTTCCTAGGTGGCTATCGGCCGGAAGATAAAGGGCCGGATTTTTGAAAAAATGGAGCGCCGTAACGGCATCGAACTATGTTCTCAAAAATCAACCTGCAACAATTATTGTGCCAGATTTTATTAGGTACAAAAAAAGTTGAGAAAAAAATGTCAAAAAAAGTAAAATATTTTTGTTGGCAAAACGGTTATTTAGCTTTAATGCAAAAAACTTAATAAACTATCACTACAGTGTACAGGGTGTTCCGAATTCTTGGGCTCACTATTGGGATCTCTGTAACGATAGTGTAGGTTAAATGGGGGCAAAGTTGATCTTTTTTGTGACTAAAAAAACGCATTCGAAATTTTCAAAAAATCTTTGAAAATAAGTTTTTCAGAGAATCTGAATCTGTTATCAGAATTTCCATAATACGCTAGATGTAAAAGCTACAGGCTACTAGTTTCTTATTTCTTATGGACGCCATATTTAATTTTTACATACTGAGATAGAGGACAAAAAAAGAAACTAATTTAATTGCATCGCCATCATAGCCATGCTGATTCAGCAAGATGTAGTTGTGGATGTTTTGTTGACAAATGAATGTAAAACTTTTGATTTTCAAATTTTTCTTGTAAATTTAAGTGAAATCCAATATGGCGCCCATAAGAATTAAAAAATAGTAGCTTCTACGTCTAGCGTGTTATGGAAATTCTGACAACAGATTCAGATTCTACGAAAAAGTGCCCATAGAAGTTAGGGAAAATGAAATTTGACATTTTAATTTTTCAGTAATATCTACGTAATTTTTAAAGATTTTTGAAAATTTTCAAACTAAAAAGGGGCATTTAACATATGGCTTTAACACTGTATCACTCACCGTTACAGAGATCCCATTGGTGAGCCACGAATTTGTACCACCCTGTACTTATGTTTCAATTAAATAAAGAACTTTCCTACTTTAGATGAAGGGCTCCATTTTTGCCAGAGAGTAATTTAAGGTACATAAAGGGAGGTGCAGGCAAATTCATTTCTTTTTTTTTTAATGAATTTGTCTGCACTTCCCTTTATCTATCTTAAGGAACTGACAGACAATAAATGAATTACTAAGAAATAAACACAAACAGAAATAAAAAAAAAGGTGAAGAGCACTTTTTGCTTTGTGCTAGGAAGCTATTTTGTCAAGAATTTGGCACCTGGTTTTTCTTCAGGTTTAGGAAATAGTAGGTTTCAAATGAGCCCAACCCTCCAAGGTCTAAGCAGTATACTGACAAAGGGTGGGTCATAACTTGATTGCCTTTTTCCAAAGATTACCATAAAGGTGCTAAGGGAAATAGAGATCAAGCCTTTCTTAATTTTTTTCGGGGGGTATTCCAAACCCCTAGAGCTATATTCTTCCCTAAAAACAGCGTTTGCACTATAAAATGTAAGAAACCGTTTCTCCACATTTTTCCACATAAAATATATTGGAATATTGGACAGTAAGTATATATTTCAGCAATCATAAAAAATATGCAAGGTATTTACGATCATCCCCTCTTTTCAAGGCAGTATGTTTAGCTGTTTTCTCAACAAAATTGAGACAAATTTTTTGCTCTAGCAGTCTACTTCTCTCAGATCTTCCGAGGAGATGGACATCCATGGATTTATACTAAATGAATGTTTGGTGTACAAAATTTTATCTGTGATTTCCCCCTCGCTACACCCAGTAATTTCAGTCAATTTACATACGTAAGAGTGGCGGTATTACCCCTCCATACTTAGTGGCAGCGAGGTTCTAACCCACTAAGAACATTTCTGGAAATTGAATGCTACAAGTGGATTTTAACTCTCTAAAATGAAACATTGACAAGACCGCAGACCACCAGTTGGGAACCACCGGTTCAATAACACTACCTCTGGTGCCATCCAAGCCGCCGACCCTTTATTATTCGTCATATAAGTACTCTTATCCGCCGCGGTACCGAAATCGCAAATCTTGAGCTTTCGACCCTCCATTATAAGCAAGAGATTGGGCGGTTTCAGATCTCTGTGAATTAGTGGTTTCGGTTTCATGGCGTGCAGATACGCGACACCCTGCAATCAGAGATTAGTACCGCGAGCTCGAACGTTAACGAAATTCAAACCTGGGCGCACTGCAGACACCACGAGATCGCGTTAGCCGCATAGTACTGCGCGCGAGGCTTCGAATGCAGCACGTTAAACAGCGAGCCGCCTTCGGCGTATTCCATTACGAGACATATGTTGGGGCCCTTCGTCGAGGCGCCGTACAATTGCACAATGTTGTCATGGTCGACTCTGGATAGCTGACGTACTTCGACGGCGAACGCCTTACGTTCGGCTTCAGTGGTTATGTTTTTTACTGCGACATCTTTACCTTTCCATTTTCCTCGGTATACGACACCGAAGCTACCTTCACCTACAATCTAATTAAATGTTAATTGGCGGTGTAATTAGTTTTACATGTAGAAAACCTCCAACTTTTCGATCTCGCTGTATTCAATCTCCTTAACAAATTGTACATTTTCAGGAGCCTCATTATCTGGAGTAGCCATTGAAAGACGTTTCAATTCATTTTATCTATCATTTTTTGGTCTTCTCGCATTGTTTTTAAAATAAATTTATTCCATTATCAAAGATATTTTGGTTTGAAGATTAGATTGCAGGTGTGGTGTCTCCATACACGTATGAGGACTATATCTATGAGTGTCTCCCATCACGTATTTGAAAACACAAAGAAAATTATGTACAGGCAATGTCAAAAAAGTGGAAACGCTGCAAGTGATTTTTTAAAAATAGAATTTTCCTACGGTGTTCATTCGAAATTATATACGAATTTGGTATTTTAATGACGCACGTTTACGGTTACGATATCATGATTTTACCGGCAACAAAATTAAATCATAGTCATTCTAGGAAATAATTCGAGTAGTTCCATTTTGTGGGAATTTGTGGTTGAAGGTCCCCTGATAATTGTGTAATAAAGTCCCGAACGATTTCGGTGCCGCAGGGGGGAAGGGAGGGGGGTTCAAGGTGGGTTTTCGCTATATCTCGAAAATGGTGGGGTGTAGGAAAAAATTTTCTTATCAAAATCGAAAGCTTATAACATTTTTATAGTTTTGTCTCTATACATTTTTTTCAAAGACACGCAGCGTTTTCCGGCTACGAGCTCTTGAATGTGAGCAATTTTCAAAAAACTCACGTGCAAACCGACGGCGAGGCGTACTTTTTTTTATTGCTCCATCTCAAGTATTTATAAGTCATTACCGATAGGCGAAGATCTTTAGTTCAAAACGGTCCGTTTATACCGAAACGGTAATGTGACATAAATCACGAAAATCTACAACGCAAAGTCCTATCACGGTCGCCACAATAAAGTAATTACTTATTCAATGATATTAAGTACTAAAGTACGTATGGCGTGTTGCCGGCCATCTTCTTAAGGGCGCCTAATTTTATGCAACCAAAATAACTTTTGGCTTCCATATTATTTTCGTTCGGGTGCGATGTATAGTTGTATGTATGTATGTTAGTATAATGCCGGTAAAGTTTCAGGAGCGTAAGAGATTTATTTTCTATGAAGAGGCATAAAATTAGAATTGTCTTTTAAAAGTAGACATAGAGTTACAAAGTTCGAAGTAGCATTTAGTAAGAAAGTTAAATAAAGAGTCACATGTATTGCATTTCTTTATTTGACTTTACATAGTCATTCCCAATCACTAGGCTCGTCAAAAGTTTGTTTCTGAGCAGATTTTTCAATTTTTGTTTTCTTATTTACAAATGGGGTTAAATTGAGGGTTACCTTCTCCTTTGTAATACCCCCCCTAGATGGACAAACAGATTTATATTTTATTTAAACAAATTTCGCAATCTTACCCTTCGCTAACCATTTTCCTCTTCTTGACAGACGGATTGATTTCACTCGCCGCTCTCGTCCTCTGTTTCGGTAGTAGACCCAGACCGGTATCACCCGCAAGATGCGCTTGACGTTGCGCGTAAGACATAATCGTGTAAGTTTCGCTTTGTGAAAGTGTACTTAAAACAATTGAAATCTGATCCCGTCTTTGCAGAGCAATGTAGGCCGACTGGTCATCAATCCAAGCGATGAATACGTTACCTAAAATAAATCCTTAACCTCTCCCCCACTCGTCGCGGAATTCCATACCAAACGGGCTAAACAATTGGAAAATGTCATTCTGCTTCCAAGTCTTTGGAAATGACAGGTACACAATATGTTCCCTACTGGGGATCACTAAAAAACAATTGCGTGCAATTATGCCACCACGAAACTCACTCACCGTCCGTTCCCGCTAAATTCATATAGGGACAATCCTGCAACCGCATCAGGAATAACCTAAACATTAGTAATACAAATTGGAATTCCACACCTGAGAATTTCTTTACCTATTACAGTATGGATCTAGTAGCGAAAAGTTTGGGTAACTTTCACTTTGTCCATTTAAGGTGTCTACAACATTTCATTTGCTTCAAATGCACAAACAATAATCGTGACTTACGTAGGTAATTCCACATTGCTAGAAAACTAACGCCGGTTATGTACGCGTCGTAGCCCGCCTCGTGTTGCTTGGTGTTGTCAAGAGTGTATCCCTCCAGGTTTTCCTCAACTTCTGTATCGAAAATAATAGTATACAATCAATTTTACAGGAAGGGTTTTTTGGCGCCCAGCATGGGGCCTAAGAACAAGAAAATTCTTCAGGCCCCATGCTGGGCGCTAAAAAAGCAGCTTCACCCTACATACCTATATCGGGAATTTTAAAGGGTTCCTTCTGAACAGTGGCCAGCAAATGAGCCACGACTGTTGAATCGATCAAACCCCTCAGTGGCGCTGTACTAGACATGTACTTCGTATCCAATATTCTGCAAAGAAAAAAATTAAAAAATTCCTATTTCAAGATGCGACAACTACTTAGGAAACGAATAATGAGCAATTTCCTTAAATTCCTGATATTCGAAGGGCAAAGGAATCAAAAATTGATGAATTGTGTGGAGAAGATCCAGGCACATATTGTGACCGACGACCAATTTCCCCTTAAAAAATTCCTATTAGCTACACTAAAAAAAAATGGGAAAACGAACAGATTCGACAATTGCTTTTATAACAGAGGCAAACCCGATACTTTGCCGCAGCTGTTCCTCTTCCCTCTCGACGACCTTTCGATTCATCGCTTCTCTGTCCTCCTTCGACTTTAATCGGGTTACTACAAGCACGTGATCCCTATTTTCTAACGCCCTAGTCTCCAAACTGGCTTTATTCGCGAGCTTCGCCTCCGCCTGTTGATAAACCAATCGCCTAATGTACGCGTTACATTTCGGAAGGACGTGCTCTTCTTTGTCGCTCGCTATAAAATCGCGTATTTCGTTGCTAAAACAAAAATAACCAACAATTTCGTGGAACTTCGCCCACTCACAAAATATTATTGACGAGCTCCTTATCTTCGTCGTTTATCGCCTGGTTGCACTTTTCCGGGGTGAAACTGTTGTTGTGCAGTTTATTGGCGCGTACTTTCTGCGCGTCCGATAACGAGGCGCGACATTTCTCCTCTTCGTTCGAGTTCAAGTACGAGATCCCCTCCTTGAAGAGCTTATTAAAATCGAATCCACTACCGGATAGGAAATCTAAACTAGACGACTGACACAAAAATCGATGATCGGGCACGAACTTATTTGCGCCAGTTTGAAAGATGTAAAAGTTGTACCCTTGCTGTTTGTAGACTTTCTTGTCGACGTCATACCTGAACATGCATAAGCCGTACTGAATAATTAAGAAGTCCTTCGAGTTTCGCCGTACTTTCTCGTAGTACTGTTTTTGGGTGTCGAACGCGTTGATATTATTTACCGTATTTAAACCGGTTAATTCGCAGTCAATTACTATAAAGTCGCATTTGGCTATTGCCTCCTTTATTGAAGGGAGCAACTGAAGAAAGTCTGAAATTTAACATTGAGGTTATGTTGAATAACAGTTAACTTACTTGATCGTGTAACTTCCATTACTTTGTAATTTTAAATTAAAGAAAAATAAGCTTTACTTTGCCTGCATGTGACACTCCTGTAGCAATTAACAATTTAATTCAAAATTTTGTAAAATGTTTATACATTCAACATGTCATATGGATGTGGCTGCATTAGCTACTCCGTGATGTTTTCTTTTGCAGCTGCCCACTCGATATACAAGGTGTTTCAACTCTTAAAACTGGTAACTTCCCTTTTAGTGCAGCAATTAAAATTGAAAAGTAGAATTAACTCAGTAATATAATTGAATAAGCAATTATTTACTTATTCAATGGTAATATCTATCTCTTTAATTTTTTATGACAGCAGTAAAAACACTTTTCGTAATTTTGTTTTAAGTCATAAAAACCATAGTAACTAACTTTTCATTACATCCCTCCGCCACTGGAAGTGAGCTGCTCTCTGAGCTGTAAACCCATGGACAGTACCCTTAGATCATATAAATGATCTAAGACGGTACCACGTGACTCGTCCTTAAGCTATACAATCAGAGTCAAAATAACCCCGTGAGTGCAAACAAATTTGTATTGTTTAATACCAAATTTAATTTTTGCTAGTAACACATTTTTGGTAACGTGGAAATGATGTCGTTTCACTGATTAAAATCGCACCTAAAGAAGCGAAGAAGAAACCTTTTAAAACATACCAATTATAAAGATTTTAAATGCGCTCATTGTGATTATGGAACAAATACTCAGAGATATCTTAAACAACACCTTGTAAAACATAACGATTTTAAAGATTTTCAATCTGATCATTGCGATTGTGAGACACACAACAAACACACTTTTAAACGACACCTTTTAAAACACCCAACAAATATTTTGTTAATTTAAATATTATCAGGGAAACCTTGTTCGGGACAAAAACCTCCTCATGTTCCACACAAATACATGAAATGAATCAACTGCGGCCAGAAAAAATATGTTTTATGTAATTTATGTCTTTTATGAAACCTACGTAACTTACGTTTTTAATTTAAAAAACCGTAATTTTTGTAAGTTACATAACTATTTGATACATCTTGATCAGTACTATCACAGACCATCAACGGTACTACCAACGTAAACGATTCACCGTTGAATTTAGTTTGGTTTAATGAAGATGAGACTTTTGATTTTTGGTATTATTGGATTTTGGATTTTGGTTATACACTGCCTTTTTTTGAGCCCCGAAAAAAAATTGTCTCAGATCGACCCGGAAAAAAATTTTCTTATAGAATGTGGCCTGTAGAATCCATAAGTTCCAAGATTGGGCTACAGTTCAAAAGTTACAGCCGTTTGAATTTTTTTTCGAAATTGGTTTCTAGTCTATAACTTTTGATTGAGAACTCTGATCGAAAAAGTACGAATTGATTTGGATTCTACGCACCCAAATTAATAAGAAAGAGTGTTTTTCCGAGAAATTTTGGTGTAGTCGATTTTTGGTAAAAAAGGAAGGTTATATACTGCGTTTTTTTGAGCCCCGAAAAAAAAATTGTCTCAGATCGACCCGGAAGAAAAAAATTCTTATAGAATGTGGCCTGTAGAATCCATAATTTCAAACAGTTCCAAGATTGGGCTACTAGTTCAAAAGTTACAGCCCTTTTGAATTTTCTTTCGAAATTGGTTTCTAGTCTATAACTTTTGATTGAGAAGTCTGATCGAAAAAGTACGAATTGTTTTGGATTCTACGCACCAAAATTAATAAGAAAAGTGTTTTCCCGAGAAATTTTGGTGTAGTCGATTTTTGGTAAAAAAGGAAGGTTATACACTGCCTTTTTTTGAGCCCCGAAAAAAAAAATTGTCTCAGATCGACCCGGAAAAAAAATTTCTTATAGAATGTGGCCTGTAGAATCCATAATTTCAAACAGTTCCAAGATTGGGCTACTAGTTCAAAAGTTACAGCCCTTTGAATTTTTTTTCGAAATTGGTTTCTAGTCTATAACTTTTGATTGAGAAGTCTGATCGAAAAAGTACGAAATGTTTTGGATTCTACGCACCAAAATTAATAAGAAAAAGTGTTTTCCCGAGAAATTTTGGTGCAGTCGATTTTTGGTAAAAAAGGAAGGTTATACACTGCCTTTTTTTGAGGCCCTCAAAAAAAATTGTCTCAGATCGACCCGGAAAAAAATTTTTCTTATAGAATGTGGCCTGTAGAATCCATAATTTCAAACAGTTCCAAGATTGGGCTACTAGTTCAAAAGTTACAGCCCTTTGAATTTTCTTTCGAAATTGGTTTCTAGTCTATAACTTTTGATTGAGAAGTCTGATCGAAAAAGTACGAATTGTTTTGGATTCTACGCACCAAAATTAATAAGAAAAAGTGTTTTCCCGAGAAATTTTGGTGCAGTCGATTTTTGGTAAAAAAGGAAGGTTATACACTGCCTTTTTTTGAGCCCGAAAAAAAAATTGTCTCAGATCGACCCGGAAAAAAATTTCTTATAGAATGTGGCCTGTAGAATCCATAATTTCAAACAGTTCCAAGATTGGGCTACTAGTTCAAAAGTTACAGCCCTTTGAATTTTTTTTCGAAATTGGTTTCTAGTCTATAACTTTTGATTGAGAAGTCTGATCGAAAAAGTACGAATTGATTTGGATTCTACGCACCCAAATTAATAAGAAAAAGTGTTTTCCCGAGAAATTTTGGTGTAGTCGATTTTTGGTAAAAAAGGAAGGTTATACACTGCCTTTTTTTGAGCCCCGAAAAAAAAATTGTCTCAGATCGACCTGGAAAAAAATTTTCTTATAGAATGTGGCCTGTAGAATCCATAATTTCAAACAGTTCGAAATTCAAGAAAATGAAGGAAAGCAGTCTCAAGGGTTTGAGAAGCCATGAAAAGGTGAAAAGAAAGAAGCAGAAACAACCAAGTAAAATTAAGAAGACAATGGAGCCTAATACTAAATAAATGTTGATGATGACAAAGAAGAGGGGTAAGAGAAATATAAAAGAAGATCGAGAGGAATACGTAACGACGAATTTACGACGATCCCATCCTGGTAGATGCTGCAAAAGGCCCGAGATAGACGTGAAAAAACGCCAAAATTGAGGGAGATGCGATATGGGCGTGAAGGAAACGAATCATGGGTTAAGGAATTTTCAGACAAATCTGAAGAACGCGTAAACGAAACGCTAAGAATACCTAAATCGGGGGATGGAGACCCCCACTCTCGTGCCTTCTCGCTTGACTTAGAAGAGATTGGCCAGGATGGTGCCGAACTCGCCTTAGAAACTTATTGTTGGCGTAACATTTATCGAATCGAATAAATAGGCTTCAGTACAATCACAATCCAGACCTTGAAAGGTCAAGTTGTGAAAGTGGTGGTCGACTAGGAGTGCAACGATGTCAGAGGAAAACCAAATTGCGGAGGAAGCTTGGGAGGACAAAGAGCGAAGAGCGGAAGAAGTCGGTGGATTTGATTTTTTAGAGCTCCAAATCGAAATTCGTATCTTTACTGTTTGTATCTTATGACCGCTCCGTGGGGCTCATCTCCAGGAAGGTAGTATTTTAAAACCGCTCCCCACATCATATTCCTCCTTTCGGACTGGTAAGCACGTCATGAAAGAACAAATGTTTATATTAAACCCAATGCATGAAGGTTAAATAAATATCTACCTCTGGTTGTAGAATAATACTTTATTAAAGACCTTATAGCAAAAGAATACTTAATGAATAAAATTTGTAATTGACTGTTTGACTTGTGCGATATCATCATCGGCCTTCGTCGTCCAGGCGTCAGTCTTCGAATCGTCGACGAGTTTCACGACGCTCGACGCGTTCTGGTTGCAGTCGATGTCGACGTGCGTCATTCCGCAGCTGTCGAAGTCGAGCCTCGCCAGGTTTCTCAACTGTTCCGGTAAATGTATCGGGCTTCCCGGTTTCTTCGTCCCGTCGACTAAGTTGGTGGACGCGATCCAGGAGGTCGCCGCCTTGACGCAACCGAAGCTGACGCTGAGACTTACGAGTTTGTGGTTCGCGAGGAAGGCGTCGGGTTCGATGATCTCGATTTGGTTGTAGGAGAGGTCCAACTTGTTGAGTCCTCGAAAGGCGATTAAGGAGAGTGGATTTAGGGAGACGATGAGATTGTGGGCCAAGTTTAAGGTTAGGACGCTGCACAAGTTGTCGTAGCTGTTGCTGGGGACTTGTCGCAGTTTGTTGTTGGATAGGTCCAGGTGCTGCAAGTTGAAGACGGTGTCGAACGTGCGCGTGTCGACGGTTTCGATGAGGTTGTCGCGCAGGTTCAGCTTGGTCAGCGCTTTGGCGCAGCGGAATGCGTACGACGGGAGGTGAGTGAGTCTGTTTTGGCTCAAGTCGAGATCGGTGACGGAATACAAACCGGAACACCAATCTTCGTCCAAGGTTTCAATGTTCATGTTAGTCAGGTGTAAAGTGGTTACCCCCGAGAAGCCTCTGAAGGTATCGAGTTCGAGTTTGGGGGTGCTGTTGCGATTGCAGGTGAAAAACTCGACCTTGCCCAAATTGTGGAAGACTTCGGGGCCGAAGATGGAAATTTCGTTGTTTTCCAATAGCAAAACCTTGAGTTTGCGAATGGCATCAAAGGTGTAGGTGTCGATTTCTTGGAGCTTGTTGTTGTTGACGCTGAGGTGGTCCAAGCGTGGTAAACCGATGAAGCTGTCCTTTTCTAAACTCTCGAGGTAGTTGCCGTCCAGGTTGAGGGTGACGAGAGAGTTTAGTCTCTTGAAAGAGGCCGGCGTGAGCTCCTTTATCGCGTTGTTGCTGATGTTGAGATGGAGAAGCATGTTGACGTAGGAGAAGGCTTCGTCGTTCCAACCTTGGAGACGATTAAAGCTCAGATCGAGATTTACCAAGAGTGGAAGTCCGTAAAACACCTTCGTAGATAGGCTTCTGATGTCGTTATGCGCTAATGTCAGCGTTTCAATGTCGGGAACGTCGGTGAGTAAACCGACTGGCAATTCTTCAATTTGGTTTCTGCTCAAATCCAGTTCCTTTAAATTAGGCATGCCTTTCAACATACCCGGTTCCAGTTCCAGTTTGCAATTGTTAATGGCCACCTTCTTCAAATTGCTCTTGTTCCTAAAGAATCCACGCTCGATGCTTCTCAAAGAAGAATTTTTACGCACGTAGAGACCTTCCAAATCATCAAAACCATCAAGCAAACCTTCCCCCAAAGTCTCCCAGTTGCATATCAAGTACAACTGCTTAATTTTGCCAAACGGGCCAAAGGTTTGGGGATGATTGTCGCTCTCACTCTGCGATTGCAGGATTAAATTTTCAATTTCTTCGATGGACCCGGAACATCCCTTCGAAATCCTCCCTTCGATCTCCTGCAGGACATTCTCGATGCACTCATCGGCAGAAATTTCGATCTTTCGAATGTTGGTCACGCCCAACAACGGATTGTAGATGTACCACGATTCCATAATGTCACCTGGATCTACAAAATACACACCTTTTAGATCAAGCCAAACACAAAATCACATTGCTCTTACATTTTTGAAGAAAACCTAAGAAGTCACACACTTTTTTTAAAGTAAAAAAGAAATACACGTCTAATAAAATTCGACCTTGCACTAGTATAGCGAGTTACTGTGGAAGTGTTTGCAGTAACCGTCTGCAGCTACTATAAATAGCCCGGTGCTTTGACTTGGTAATCAAAAACCCCACCACTTTTTCCTCACTATATTATATTTTTTTGCCGCTATCTTAACTAACATATAATCGAGTATTTATAGCGTTTTTTTTGCCGCCTGTTTTTCCAACATGCTTTTTATTGCGTCTTAATAATATAATTTCGCAATGCTCAAGTTCAAAGCTGAAGATCCGAGGGTGTGTGCTATAGCAATTTGGATTCCCTGACCTGACCAACTCGTCAGGGCACGCCTGCAGTGTCGCCAAACACTTCGAAAAGTCTTTTCCCGATTGGAGTCGGGACTATTTGCATATTCAATGATCCCTAGGTCACCACATCCTACTCATTAACACCTTTTTTAAGGAGGACAAGCAACTTTTTTTATCTTCTGCAAACACAGTTAGTACATAGATTTTATGAAAAAATAAAAGTTTCTGCATAGAAACTCTTAATTCCCAGTCCTTTCATCAAGCCTCTATGCGCAGTTTGAGTAAACAATTTAGCATATTTAAAATAAACCAAAAATGTACAAAACAAGTGACGTTTTATTCAAATTCAGTTGCTTTATTTATAGCTTCGTTACCACATTCAATTAATACTGACATTGGTCCCCAATAATTGATTCATCTATGAAATGATATCATTCGGAGCGATAAACCCTTTAAATTAGCCATCGTGACCGCATTATTGGCCACATTGCACTTTTTATCAAAAATTACGCAATTTATTTAATCGAGCTGTTACGTGGTGCCTCCGATTTGCGAATTTACACCGACCTTTGAGGACGTGTTGACAGTTCATGTACCGGAAGCTCCTAGGCGTACTAAACGAGGTCATTACGTAAAACAAAATTATTTCTCTTTTCCTATCTACGCAAATTGAGAATTAAGTGAAAGTTGGGTTCGTTGGTTTGTTTGGCGACGAGAACTTGAAGTATATACCAGTTTTGTAAAGGCAATATATATATATATATATATATATATATATATATATTTCCCTCAAAAATCTATAAAGAAACCTTAAAAATCAAAACACCTCCCCCCGCTATTAGTTTGACGTTATGTTGCGTTAACTGATTTCTGGTGCATTTCGCAATCCAATCATCACAATCATCATTGCATGCTTTTATCACTAATTAAAGCAGACATATTCGTATTTCTATGGTTCCCAAGGGAAGAGCTCTGCAAAATTCCAACTTTTGAATTTTTTCTCAGATGTGTGTAGGTACGTCAATAAACACACCTCCTTCCTCGTTACCACATTTGCAAAACACTGTCCCACGCCATTAAAGCTAATGGGCGAATAACCGATAAAAATGCTAATTTTGTACGTAGCATGTTACTACAGCCAAGCCCTCCCAAAAGCAGCCTCACAGAATTTGTTCGTAGTAGATCGAATAAACAATTTGAAGTTCTTAAAATAAACAATGGCGCGCAAAAATGTCCGAAAACAACTATTTTTATTGTCAATTTCAATGACATTCAGTTGGATAACAACTCATAAAGTAACTTCCGAGTTCTTATCAAGAAGAAAGCGATAAATTTTGTCGAAAAAATAACTGGAAAATAAAATGTCCAGTGATTACGATACTGAGGGTAGGTAAATAAAATGTCGTTTCAAAAAGGAAGCGTGCAAAAGGTTTCTTCTTTGCAATGCACCTATAATAAACCCGGTTTTGAATTTATGAATATTAACAACAGAACATTATGCAAACAAGCCTTGATTATAAATGAACGCGGACGTAGGTTAACTAAAATCAATGGAATTGTACCGAAATATGAATTTCCTAGAAAACGAATCCAAAATGGGTTATTACTCTCTATTGTTAAACAGAAAGACACCAGTTCTGAGGAATCTGAACCAAAAATTTAAACTGTGGACGTAAGCAATTTTTCACCTTTCCTAGCCTTGGTCTAGTATGACATAGATATATTTGTTTATTCGTTCAAATGATTTTTACATAGATTACATAATAATCAAGACGCGTAAGCAAACGCTTCACTAAGAAACTGTAGTTGCTGTGGTCACCGTTACACCCTGAATAAAAATTAAAAGGGAAGGGGGCGAATATGATGTTAATTTCTGAACATACACTCATTAACTCACAATGGATTGACGTCATTTTCTTATGTACAGGCTGTATGTATACTACCAATACTTGTTGTATTAAAAAGATGATCATACGGAACGGCAATTACTGTACATAGGAATATGTGACAATTTGTGGTTCAAAATGAAATGTATCTGTAGTTTGACATGTTCCGAACGAGGGACTACGCACCTCTTCTGAGGGGTGAGATTATGCCCACATTACCACTAGTTCGAAATGCTTGTGAAATATGATACCCTGGACCGCGTCATAGGCTCATGCACATTATGCGTCATCGTCAACATTCAAGACCAGTTCGGCACAACCGAGGAAATGTCTTCTAAGCAATGAATGAAAAGAACGAAAGTAGCTCGGATTGTGCCGAGGGTTATATACAATGGCCGAACTGAGCTTCGGCTCGCTCGGCAATAATTACATTTATTTTAATCATTTTTTATTTTATTTTATTTTACCTTTATTTTTGAGTGGGCGGGGTTTCAGCCAAGGTTGCTGTACCAACCCAACCCGCTATACATTTACAAATATCCATGACAGAACCCGGATTCGAACCAGGGATCTTTAGTACCGCAGTCCAGCTTTAATTGAACTGCGCCACACGGGCCGGCGCGTAGACGAGCCTGTTTAAGGTTTAACTGATTTTATCATTTTTACGCCAAAAAAATGTCATTGCCGGGCCAGCCGAAGGCGATTTTGGCACAATGCAGCCCAATTTCTTCGAAGTAAAGCGAAAAAATTAGGAAGGCAGGCCTGATTGTTCGGCAATAATTGTACTGAATACTATTTCATTCATTTGATCAATTTACCGGCACAAAATGTCATCGTCGAGCGAACCAAAGGTGAGTTCGGCACAATCCAAGCCAATTTCTTGAAAATAAAGCGATAAAAGCACGAAATTGGTTCGGATTGTGCCTAATTCACCTTCGGTTCGCTCGGAAATGATTGTACTGAAGCCTACTTAGTCGATTCGATCAATATTAAGCCAAAAAATTTCATTTCCCTGCCAGCCGAAGGCGAGTTCGGCATAATCCAGTCCAATTTCTTTGAAGTAAAGCGAAAAAATCAAGAAGGCAGGCCGGATTGTGCCGAACTCGCCTTCGGCTCGGTCGGCAATAATTGTACTGAATACTATTTCATTCATTTGATCAATTTACCGGCACAAAATGACATTGCCGAGCGAACCAAAGGTACAATTCAAGTCAATTTCTTGAAAATAAAGCGATAAAAGCACGAAAGTGGTTCGGATTGTGCCTAATTCACCTTCGGTTCGCTCGGAAATGATTGTACTGAAGCCTACTTAGTCGATTCGATCAATATTAAGCCAAAAAATTTCATTTCCCTGCCAGCCGAAGGCGAGTTCGGCATAATCGAGCCCAATTTCTTTGAAGTAAAGCGAAAAAATCAAGAAGGCAGGCCGGATTGTGCCGAACTCGCCTTCGGCTCGCTCGGCAATAATTGTACTGAATACTATTTCATTCATTTGATCAATTTACCGGCACAAAATGTCATCGCCGAGCGAACCAAAGGTGAATTCGGCACAATCCAAGTCAATTTCTTGAAAATAAAGCGATAAAAGCACGAAAGTGGTTCGGATTGTGCCTAATTCACCTTCGGTTCGCTCGGAAATGATTGTACTGAAGCCTACTTAGTCGATTCGATCAATATTAAGCCAAAAAATTTCATTTCCCTGCCAGCCGAAGGCGAGTTCGGCATAATCGAGCCCAATTTCTTTGAAGTAAAGCGAAAAAATCAAGAAGGCAGGCCGGATTGTGCCGAACTCGCCTTCGGCTCGCTCGGCAATAATTGTACTGAATACTATTTCATTCATTTGATCAATTTACCGGCACAAAATGACATTGCCGAGCGAACCAAAGGTACACAATCCAAGTCAATTTCTTGAAAATAAAGCGATAAAAGCACGAAAGTGGTTCGGATTGTGCCTAATTCACCTTCGGTTCGCTCGGAAATGATTGTACTGAAGTCTACTTAGTCGATTCGATCAATATTAAGCCAAAAAATTTCATTTCCCTGCCAGCCGAAGGCGAGTTCGGCATAATCCAGCCCAATTTCTTTGAAGTAAAGCGAAAAAATCAAGAAGGCAGGCCGGATTGTGCCGAACTCGCCTTCGGCTCGCTCGGCAATAATTGTACTGAATACTATTTCATTCATTTGATCAATTTACCAGCACAAAATGTCATCGCCGAGCGAACCAAAGGTGAATTCGGCACAATCCAAGTCAATTTCTTGAAAATAAAGCGATAAAAGCACGAAAGTGGTTCGGATTGTGCCTAATTCACCTTCGGTTCGCTCGGAAATGATAGTACTGAAGCCTACTTAGATGATTCGATCCATTTTACGCCAAACAATGCCATTGTCGAGCGAACCGAAGAATCTGGTCAAATTTGTGCCGATTTCACGGTTCACCTTCTTTGTTAGAGTGGCACGAGGGGAAACGAGGGAGATGCAAAACAGGCAGAATGATTAATGAAGCTTGAGAACCAAAAAAAATTGCAACAGCTCAAAAAAACTGAAAAATGCGAGGAATCCGAGCAAATCAAAATTAGATAAACACCGCGGTACGTACTCAAAAAATACAAAAAAATTCATGAAAGTTCAAGGTGTGGAAGGAGTGGTCGAAGTACACTAGGAGTGCAACGACGTCAATAAAAACAGGAAAGTCAAATTGCAGAGGAAGCTTGGGAGGCCAAAGAACCGCACTAAAACGTTGACGCATGGAGTTCTGGAGCGTTCCGTGGGGCCCATCTTCAGCGATTGTTTTAAAACCACTCCTCAATAGGATGCTCCAGGTTGTGTCCCGTTAGGAACAAATATTTATACTGCAGTAACTGCAGTAAAAAAATTAATAGTCTATTTCTGGTTGTAGAATAATACTTTATTAAAAAATATCTTGTAACTTAAAAATACTTAATGAATAAAATGTGTAATTGACTGTTTGACTTGTGCGATATCATCATCGGTCTTCGTCGTCCAGGCGTCAGTCTGTAATTGACTGTTTGACTTGTGCGATATCATCATCGGTCTTCGTCGTCCAGGCGTCAGTCTTCGAATCGTCGACGAGTTTCGCGACGGTCGACGTGTTCAGGTTGCAGTCGATGTCGACGTGCGTCATTCCGCAGCTGTCGAACTCGATCCTCGCCAAGTTTCTCAACTGTTCCGGTAAATGTATCGCGCTTCCCGGTTTCTTCGCTCCGTCCACTAAGTTGGTGGACGCGATCCAGGAGGTGGCCGCCTTGACGCAGCCGAAGCTGACGCTGAGACTTACGAGTTTGTGGTTCGCGAGGAAGGCGTCGGGTTCGATGATCTCGATTTGGTTGTAGGAGAGGTCCAGCTTGTTCAGTCCTCGAAAGGCGATTAAGGAGAGTGGATTTAGGGAGACGATGAGATTGTGGGCCAAGTTTAGGGTTAGGACGCTGCACAAGTTGTCGTAGCTGTTGCTGGGGACTTGTCGCAGTTTGTTGTTGGATAGGTCCAGGTGCTGCAAGTTGAAGACGGTGTCGAACGTGCGCGTGTCGACGGTTTCGATGAGGTTGTCGCGCAGGTTCAGCTTGGTCAGCGCTTTGGCGCAGCGGAATGCGTACGACGGGAGGTGAGTGAGTCTGTTTTGGCTCAAGTCGAGATCGGTGACGGAATACAAACCGGAACACCAATCTTCGTC